TCAGGCAGTACGCGGCCGCGAGACTGTCAGCCGAAAGTAAGCAACCGCGAGTCAGTCAGTGTTTGTAGTCAAGTAGTAAGTTTGTAGTCAGTTGTAAGTTTGTAGTCAAGTAGGAGAAGTAGTAAGCAGTCAGTCCGTCAGTGTAAGTATGCAGTAGTCTGAAGTGGAAACTGAGTTGTGAAGTGAGCATTGCGATGAACAGTGGTGCAGTAGGGGAACAGCTGTCAGCAGTTTAAAGTCTGCAATGGAAGCTGAGCTGTCAAGTGTGCACCGCGGAAAACAGCAGTACAGTGGACCCTGGTCCGCGCAGTGAATTGTGATCAGCGCAGTGGACCGTGGACAGTGCATCGGACTGTGGGTGCATACGCTTCTTGCTTGGCTCGCGGCTCCTCACGCTCTCGTGTGCTTCAGTTCTTCGCTACACTTGCCCGTAGCACGCCGACGCATGATATGCAGACCTGACGCGAGTTACTAGCGGCGAAATTTCTGTTTACTTCAACACCTTGGACTTGTGTTGCTAAAAATGTCTTATGACGCCTCGTGATAAGTAAGCTCGTCTTTCTCTTGACGATTACTATTTTTCGCCCTAAATCTCTTACAACTTCGCCCAGTTCAATTAACTGCTGAACAAATGTTGAATACTACACAATTTCCTAAATCTCCAACAACTCACTTCTACTCACTCCTGCTCTCTTACTAACTCTTCTCATGACGAGATGTTCTCTACGCCCTATTGGCCTTGCTCACCGCACTCGTCTGCTCACCTCGGTATCTCGTACAGAAAAGGGGGCTGAGCCGTCAACTGTGCCCCTTTTTTAAAGGGGTGGCGTGACGTCACGGCGAAACCCGTTTTCCATAAGTCGGAAGTCCACCGCCGTCGCGACGCAGATAACACATCGCGCTGCTTCTGACGTGAATTATTCGGCGCGCCTGTGTCTTCGCTTCACCGAAGCATTGTGAGTGTTGTGGGTTTTCTGAGCTTGTCTCAAAATGATATATCTCGATATATATATATATATATATATATATATATATATATATATATTGTGGCATCATGT